AAAAATTGCAAAAAGTGGGTCACGTAGTATGGGTACGTTCCCTAATAGCTTTTTGTAGCTAACTACGTTATATATTTTATAGAAATCCCGCAAAAAAGCTAACTACAAATAGGTTATTTTTTATCAATTGATAATTTTTTTCTGCAGGGCCCTATCAAAGCGGCGTTCTGCATGCTTGGGGTGCGTATGTACACTTACATATAGATACTCAGATGTGAACAGTCAAATACGTGCGTAATAAATTTTGTATGAAAATATTATTTTTAAATACGAACATTTTTAAACGATAATCAAATATAAAGTATTCATTTTTACTATGCATTATTTTATTTATTATTGTTGCTCTGCGTGTATTTCGTCATTTAAGCGCGTGTTCTTTTGTAGCTCGGTTGCAAAAGAATGGGCCTATTAATATCTTCTGAATTACATAACCTATTAAAAACTGATGATGTTAAAATAAAGGTAATTAATTATTATTTCACTTGGTGTACCTAATTTATAAGGTTTTTATATGTTTAAACAGGAAATACCAAAAAACCAAAAATCTTAATTGTTTAAAAACGGTTATAGTATATACGTCGCACAATGCGTAGTTTGGGCGATTTAGGGAATGAAAAATCATTACGCCCACAATTTTTACTCTAGAATTTTTGTTTGCCTTATGTACCTTATGTCTACACGGTTGAGAAATCTCGCTAAAGTTTTACTGAAATAAAAATCTCCTCTCTCAATTAAGTTTACACGGCGGAGCAACTCTAGGAGATATTCACGCTGGCTGGAGTCAAAATAGAGAAATCTCAACTTTTCTCTATCACGTACTCTACAAGCTGTGTACACGGTCGACAATTGTTACCACCCGCCTAGAGTTATTTTTCTATCTCGAATTATTGTCAACGCTTGTATGTATCTATATCAGAGCCACGATGTAGAAAATAAAGGTGGCACCATCCGCGGACCCTTCGTCGATTTGACAGCATTCACATATTCGCTGACGCCATAAAATACTTCTTCGCACTAGGGATGAAAATTAAATTTCTAATTGTACCTATGTATGTATAGTAAAAGTAAATAAATGTATCTAAAATGTAAACATGTATTTTTATGTGTATACTTTTTTTACCTCTCTCTTCGGTAGCATGTATACTTTTGGACTCACATCAACCAACCTTTGCTATTAAAAATTTCCTAACATTTACCACTTAACACTTTTACATTAATATTTTAAAATTTAACAAACAGTGATGAAATTCATTGTCAAGAGCTTACCATACATTTCCGTAAAGCAAAAATTCTATTTAGCTTGCCAAATAGAGCGTTGAGTTGTCGTAGAGTTTTCGATCTAATTGCGATGGACTATGTAAACGGCGAAAAAGTCTCTAAATTATATATGTACATATATTGATTATAGGTGTTCAAGTGACTTTCGCCCACTTGAAGAATGCATCCCTGCGCATCTTCAATCACACAAGCATCCCTGTGGAAATGGTCAAGAAATGCATCCCTGCTTTCATTTAAAATTGGAACTTCCAATGATGGCTATAAATGCGCTACGCACATTCGTATCCGGCCTTTTTATATGCATAGCAGCCAACCTTATATCATCGATCATCGTGACGGAGCCACCAGATTCACCCAACGTGGGAAACATAACCATCACCGATCATCTTTACCATCTCCAAAATATACATAAGTATCTCTTGTAAATTCATTTCATATAAAACGAAAACCTATTGTTCATTCAAACTGAATTCCCATATGTATTTACATACATTCATATATTAATTCATTCAATTTTCATTGTTAATTTAATCATTCCCTTGATTCTCAATATCATAAAGTCACTCGCACTATATTAAGGTAAATAAAATCTCGAATTGGAATCATTAAAACCAACCATACATTTAACAATAGGTGTACATTTATGACGGGGCAACATTATTACAACATACATACGTACTTAGATAAATTTGTATGCACTTCATAAACTTTATTTGCGAATCAGTTGCGAAGACCTAAAGGTTGATTGAAAAGGCCAAGTTAAATTAGTTGCTATTACTCATGATATGAGTCGATTTTTGCACAATTGGATTTTAAAATTCGTTACTAGGCTGGCATTAAGAAATGCCAATGTCTGATCAAGTTGGGCGAATTGGACATTTTCATCTCCTGTGATTTAGAATTAAAACAGTCAGTGTGCTATGCTAGATCAAAGATAATTCTACTGAGTCGAATGTATGTATTTATGTACATAGGTCGCAGTGCATGCCTAATTTTATTAACTAGACTAGGTTAGGCTTGGGTTATCTTGGCTGCTCTCATCTAGCACTGGAAGAAGGCACACTTAGTCCACCATGATGCCATATAAGAAATGCCTTTCGTCCGTCCTTTTATCGTGCAAAACCGAGCTGTGATGAAGCTCCAAGCTTAAAACTTCCACCACATATGCCTTGCTGTCCTGAACGTGAGTTCCGCATATATGTATATTAAACGCGGAATCCCGCGCCATTTTTGCGGGATCAGAACAGACTACAGAAAAGATTATGCAAGAAAATAAGGATCATGTTTTTACTGAACGGCCGCTCTAATTAGGTATTAGCGATTTAGAAGTTCACACAAGTGTTTATGTAATTACGACAGTATTATTACTTCCGTATTCAATGTCACGCAAATCAATGATAACAACACTACTCAAATTTATTCAGCACCGATTTTATGTAAAAAAATAATGATTGCACAAAAATGATTGAACATATTATTTCAAATCTGATGAAATTTGATGAAGAGAAGACTTACCTCAGTTCAGATTCTGTTCAAAATTATGTGAGCCACGATCAATTATATCCTGTAGAATTTTTGAACTCCCTGATTCCGTCGGATTTACCACCCCATAAATTAATTTTCCAGTCACGCCTTTCCAATTATTAAGAAAACAGTTCCCGTTAAAGGTGGCCCTTACTATGACAATCAATAAAGCACAAGGTCAGACGCTTCAAAGGGCAGGGTTGTATTACCGGAACCTGTTCTTCGCATGGGCAGAGCTAACACTCCGCTGGCTTGGCCCCGTCGTTCGAATGGACACCGACGCTCCAGCTCTGAAAGTATTCAACTCGGAACCCGCTGATGGTAGCAGAGGAAGAGGGAGGCCCCCACTGCGATGGAAAGATCAGGTGGAGAAGGACTTGGCTTCACTTGGCGTTTTCAATTGCGTCAGTTGGCACAGAGGAGAAACGACTGGCGTGCTTTGCTGAACTCGGCCAAAATCGCTTAGGCGGTTACAGCGCCAAAAAAAGAAGAAACAAGAAGAGATAACCCTTCCAACATTGTTTCCAAAGAAGTTTTGTAAAGTTTCAGTTACAATTACACATCTGTAGTGACTGCAGTAAAACAAACTCCTGCGAAAATACCCGAGTTAATTTATTTCCCCTTTATTCTAAAATATTGGATGCGAATATTTCGCACGGGCAAGCTAGTAAATTTTTGTATAAAAATTTGGGCCCCTAAAATAAGCGAGAATTCTCGATATCTCTGGCAGTCTACTTTCAATAGTTTAATTTTCGTTTTACATATACCTATTGCCAGGTTGTGAACTTCAACAATTTTTAACGTTACAAGTGTAGAGTTTCTGGTTTAGCCTCCAGATAATTACAATTACGTGGGTACAAACGTTTTCCAAGGTGATCACCAAAAGTGTGCTAAATATGTATTAAAGAAAGTAAACATACATATTTAGGGTTCATGATTCGAAAATTTTACCTTTTTCACGCCTTTTATCAGACGTTGTATATTTTCCTGTACCTACTGAGAAGAGAAGACTACATGTACATATGTAAGCGATTGATCCTCGCAGTTTTTAATAAAAAAAACTCGGTGTATCTCTAGCAGAAGTGTTGAGGTTCACATTGCTGCGTGCACCCTGGAACGCCTGAAATGCCCATAAACGTCTTCATTGCCTATTGAGGTACTTACTTTTATTTGGCCATCAAAGTTCAAGTATTTCTGTTGAAGACTTCGACTACTTCACCTTCAGCTGCCAGCGACATTTATGAGCAAAGTGCACTCAAGTACAGTTCGGAGCAGAATGCAGCAGCAGAGCTCCTGCGTCCTTGAACAAACTGAAGAATACAAGTACACAAATATGTTTATTTGCATCATCAGCAGTTCACCTATGTTTATTTACATTAGAATGCATACGTGAACGCGTATGGCGGTAGGCAAGTAGACATTGTGGCATGTGACAAGTGCAAGCCGATGGGACAGTTGATCTCGGTTGGAAAACTTTGACAATAATGCGGCTGAAGTTGCATATGCATACTTACTACACTGTTCTTTCATCTTCTTGCGATTGCACATCGCTCACTTTGGCGTAAGCGTTCGTAGGTACGAAAAA